ATCTCTTTTCGCCACATACATGAAAACCAATTAAAATTCTGAAAAAGAAAAAGAAAAAAACAACTGCTATAAAGCATTCAAAACATTTTGTTGGACAAAAATTAACGTAAGAAAAAGTTTGTGATGTTCGTTACATTAAGGGTGGATCACATGCTTAGTGAAGAAGAACCCCATCAATTTTAGTTGATAATTTTCGGCCAATTGGAGTGGTACCAATTTGAAAACCGTCATTCGTTTTCCCATTTCTTGTTTTTTTTACGGAACCTTAAATCCCATCTTCCCTTCTTTTTATACAATTATTTTGTTTTCAATTACTTTTTCTTTTTTTACTTTTCCATCCTACCTGTAGTCATTTTAAAGGGCTGACATTACAATGATAGTGCAGGATAGTACAGCTGATTATTGAGAAGATCATGACTCCTGATGTTGCGGAGGTCAAGGACCTGGACTCAACTCTGAGAGGCACGGGCGGGATTGGGTCGACGGGGGTGTGAGGCCCGTGTGCTGGGTTTCGGCCATCAACTTTGTTCTTTAAAAGTTTATTTTCATTGGGTTTTAGGCTGTGCCTGGGATGCACGCAGGTCTGGCAGGAGGATTATCTTGGTGAGAAATTTCATCGAACTCTTGGTGCGTAAGTATCTGCTAATTGCTATGTGCTCAGCCACCCTTTTGAAGTATCTCCTTGTGCTCAGCCTCTCTCCATTTAATTGTGTAATTTGGAATAAAGCCTTTCGAGTTGCTAGTTTGCTGGGTTAATCCTTCCGTCAAGTAATTAGCAGTGCCGCACGATGCCATCACCTTTGTACGGCAACCGTCCCTTCTGGCTGGGGAAGGAATTTTTTTTTTTTCGTCATAGCATATAGCTATTTACCTTGTGTATTTCTTTCGTCCTTCTGTCTTCTTCTTTTGCTGCCGTCATCTGGTTTTGCATTCGTTTTGTTCTCTTCTTTACTTTTTGCTCCAGATGCTTCTCTAGTTAACTTTCTCAAGAGGTACGAGAGCTTCTTCAGTGATGCGCTTCTGTTGTGGTGATGCTCGTGCTTTTGTTTTTCTACTTTTGAGCTCATTCCCCCATTCAAGATAACATACAGTTGTCAGTACCAAAATAAGGATTAAGAATCTATCATTTTAGACCTTAGTTTTCTGTATTGTCTTATGATCATCGATCAAAATAATGGCCCAATATCAATCATTTGAGATCGATCTTAACAACCTTTTCCTTAGGGTTAGATTTATACGTACTTATACTGCATGGGTTGCCTCCCATATGTGTACTGATTAGATCTTGAACTGTCATTTTGTGTAGCTGTGACATACCATCTACATATAACTATCTGGAAAACGAATCTCTTTGGCATATCTATATGGGAATTGGCTCTAGGCAATCTGTAGAGATGCAAGATCTCAGGCCTGGTGCTTTTGCTCTCGAATCTAGTATGGTGGAATCCTCTCCTGTTTCTCACCTTGTGTTCTTGGATATTTTCCCATGATTGCCCCAAATTTTTAGTTCTTGTCTACTCATGTATAACTCACATTACTTTTTTTCTCATGTCTAGTTCAGGATACGTTCATGATTTGTCCTTTGTGGGGATATTTAAGTACTTGTGCTGTTTGCAAGTCTTCAATTGGCTGGGATCCTCTTGATAGAGATACCGTATTTGTATTGCATCTTGCTATTATCCTTTGTGGTTCTTTTTTGACTATATTTTCATTCTATAGTGAAAATTTTCTTAATCAAATAGTTTAACTCAGTTTTAATTGTGCTCTCGACATTTATTGGATGGTTACATACGTTTTGCTATTTTCTTATCAACAGGCTTTGACAGCAATGGTACAGCAGACTATGCAATATATTGACCAGACACATGATCTCGAGACCAGGATAGAGCTTATTAAGACACTTAACTCTGTTGCCGCTGGGAAGGTGTCTATGTGAAATCGAACTCTATTGCAGCTTATGTTCATGAGCAATCTGTTTTTATTTCATGATTTCTATAGCTAGTTTCGTTATGCAAATACATGTCGAAATTGAGAGAGCCCGGTTGATCAAGAAACTTGCAAAAATAAAGGAAGAACAGGGTCCGATAGCAGAAGCTGCTGATTTGATGCTATAAATTGGCGTAACTAGAAGTTTACTGCTGTTGTCACTGATCTTGTAATTGGTTTTTCCTTGTCCAACATTCCTATGATGGGTTTGAATTGCAGGTAGAAACTTTTTGAGCAACGGCAAAGACGGAGAAACTTGCCTTTATCCTTGATTAAGTGTGGGTTTTTTGTATTGCTTTTAGCTGTTTATGCACTATTACTATATAATTGGTTTTCTGATCGATGGATTTTGCAGGTTCATTTGTCCTTAGATTGCCAGGATTATGTCTCTGCACAGATCCTTTCCAGGATTAGCCGTTTATGCACTATTACTATGATTGGTTTTCAATCGATGGGTTTTGCAGGTTCATTTGTGCTTAAATTGCCAGGATTATGTCCATGCACAGATTTTATTAAAATGAATAAAGGCTATTTTAATCTCTTCTCTTGGTCAACTAAATAGAGCCAGATTTTAAAAATCGCTTTCCCTGCTTGCTCCTATTGGAATTTAATTCCCTTTCGAGAAGGACTTGTATGTAACACCTTTGCCGTTGCACAAACCAACCCGAATTATCATTCAATGAAAGTAATTTCCCTGTTCATATCGCCAATCTACATTTATACAATATTTCGTAAGTATGAGGAATATATTATAATCCGAGTTAGTTAGCATTTATTAAGAATTTAATCAACTCGAGGTCTTATTTGGGTAAACAGTCTTATGGGAAGAAAGCAAGGCCGCCCTATATTCCATCCTACCATACTTATGCTTCGATTTTCCAACGGTACTGCCTTAATGCTTTATTTGGGAAGGAGGGGAAGAGGAGGAAAATGAAGTAAATTTTTGTAACTTTTGTGAGAAGAAGTGGGAGGAAAATTCAAAATTTTTCTCTCCTCCTTTCCTTCATGTACCCAAGCAAAGCAGCTTTTCCTTTATCACGACGATGCAGGCTTGCTAAATAGACCACAAGCATAGGGCAATTTATGCGTCATTGCGAGCATAGGGGTCATCATCAATTGGAATAAACTAAACATTAATTTCATTCATCAAATGTATGGTACTTCACTTGACGTCCAATTCATGTGCATCGGCCATTATCCACAAGATGCTCCGATGAACAATTGATGTGTCAGTTTATGTGGCAAAACATGCCATGGAGGCAAACATGTGAAGTTGGTCCTTGAAAGGCTGAGGCGTTGCGCGACCTAGCAAATCCAGATACTATCTGTTTCCGTCGTCCTCCAACTTGTGCTGTCCATTTTTTTTTTTTCAAGTGAAGAAGGATCTGACGGCACAAAGGAGATTATAGACCAATCAATGGACTAGTTTAAGAAAGAAAGGGATTCAACCACACACACAGCTTGCTTTGAAACTAAGAGGAATAATAAGGAGAGGGGGTACCGATGGCCATGTGAGCTTCAAGTTTCCAATTAGTGCATTTTTAAAGTGCTTGGCCTTTTGGGCCTGGAATCTTCTATTTTTTCGTGGATTATCTTTTTGCAGGTCTGAGCCGACAGTTTTTGTATTCTTGTGAACGTTGGAGAATCATCATATTCAGTCCCCACATTCATAAAGCGGAGTAATGGGAGCACAGCAATTATTGGTGGATGAGGTGACGAGAGTTTCAAGGAAGCTCCATCGAAAACCCGTGGGAAATTTCTTGCATCTTATGGGAGCAAATTCATGGTCACTTCATGACCCTTTCTGGTATGATTTGCCAAGTGATTTTTGTGGACAATGTCATGAAATTGAAACTGAAACCAGCTCAATGTGTAACATTTGAAAAAACGTAGCACCTAAATAGATCTGCCATCATCCAAACGAAACCAAACATTCATTTTTTCATTTAAATGGGCAACGCAAGAAAATAATTTCGCTAGCGGAGTTTACACACAACGACATACATGCAATTTAACAACCGATGTTTAGGCAATGACCCATATTCGATTTTTACTTTTAGCAAGCATTTCCATTCCATATATAAAGTGATATTCTACTTGTTCATGTAAACATCTATCTAGATATAGTTGCGATTTCTTTACGTAAAAATCCTATTATGAAAATCTCAAAAAGTCCATCCTAACCGTCTAATATGGGACCAGTTGCGAACAAATTCCCAGAATGGATCGACCAATAAATGAATAAAGTTTAGCCTGACATTTTTCAAAGTGAATAGATGAAAGGTCGGCCAGCTACGAGCGAGAGCTACAAACAGTCTAGCATAAATTATGTCTAGCACGGATTTTTCATAGGAGCGGAACGGGTTTCAATTATAGGTACAGGTAAGAGCAGATGCTCCAAATGCATTTGTCCAAGTCTTTAATTTATTTGACCCAAAAAAAAAGTCTTTAATTTAGCTTTGGAAATGTTCATGTTGATCCTCCACAACCTCTACCGAAATTCACTACTAAATTCCATAGATTCGCTGCTCAGTCTCACCAATTCCCCAAACTCCTTGCCCAGCTTGTGCTTCACCTTACATTCCCCTTCCGTTTTAGCATGCAGCAACGTTATCCTGGTGTCATGCTCGCTTCACCTTCCCATTACAATTCCCCGAAGATTCCATTTATTAATGGAAAAGCAAGTGAAGCCGTACTGGAACTCCAATTTCAATCAAAGCACCAGCGTAGGTTGCACGCAGTGGCACCTTCCGCTTAATGCTGAGGAAATTACGCGTGCAATAACTCAGCATATTTCAAGCAGTCGGCATCGTTCAAGCGCGCACAGTTGAAAAAGCAAAGACTTTACTGTTTTTTTGGTCCGTAGAAAAAGCAAGGACTCGGAGCATCTTTATTGCAAGTTGGTTTTCTTTTCTACTTTTTTGTTAAAAGGAAAAGCAAGTCAAGTCAAGAAGCCCTTGCATAGCTTCCCCGCAACTTCCGCATAATGCTGCGAATAATACGCGTGCAATAACTCAGCATTCTTTAAGCAGTCGGCAAACATCATTGTTCAAGCACGCACAATAGAGAGTGTTGTGTGTTGCTAATCCAACGTCCAAGGCTGAGGATCGGGTTGTATTGTTTGAACACTCCTCTGGTGGTCGACGACTCCTCGCCCTTCTCCGTTTCCTGCTTTGATTGCTCCTTTTTTTCTGATGAGTTGTCTGAGAGTTTCTATTGTTGTTTCAATTTGATCTGAGTTTGAGTCCTACAAAACATTTTTGCTATTCCCAGATCTGGGAATCCATATTTCTCTCCTGTTTCCTTCTCCATCAATCTCTTTTACCATCCTCTCAAGATGAAAAGACAAAAACCCACTCCTTCAGAAGATCCGATCTATGAGGCGTCTTCCTCATGGACCACTCCACACATAGGTGATTATGAAGGCGGAACCAAAAGGCCAAAGGGAAATGATTACGAAGTTTTCTTGAGTTTCAGAGGGGAAGACACTCGCAAAAGCTTCACTGATTATCTTTATACTAGCCTTATCAGTGCAGGAATTCATGTATTCAGAGATGACAATGAGCTCCGTGTTGGTGAGGAGATTGGTCCGGAGCTTCTCTGCAACATTACACAGTCCACGATCTCGATCCCGATTATCTCTGAGAACTACGCTTCTAGCAAATGGTGCCTTTGTGAGCTGGTTCAAATGTTGAAGTGCAAGAGAAGCATAGGGCAAATAGTGTTGCCCATATTTTACAAAGTGCAACCCTCACATCTTAAAAGGGGCTTGGGAGATGCTATTGTTGCCCATAAAGAGAATTTGGACGAAATGGGTGTAAAGGAATGGGAAGAAGCGCTCAAAGAAATCAAATCCTTGAAAGGATGGGAATCGGAGAAAATTGAAAATGGGTACATTAATATCCACTAAATTGTTGTTTATTTTTCACAGATAGATCTTCCTTGAGAAAGAATATACATATTCCCTCCTATGCTGAAATTCATCGTTATTTGACAGGCACGAAGGAGCATTGGTCAGAATTGTTGTCACAAAAGTTATGAGCGAGTTAAAAAGAACTTTTCAGCTAACTGTTCCCCAACAGTTGGTTGGAATTGACGATCGTATCGATGACATTATGAGCTGGATAGATGATAAATTTAATGATACAAAGATTATCGGACTTTATGGAATGGGCGGCATCGGTAAGACGACTCTTGCAAAGGTGTTGTACAACAAACTCTCTCGTCATTTTGAGTATCGTAGCTTCGTGGCAAATATTCGAGAAAAATCTCAGCGCCAGGGTATTGAATGCATACAGGACAAACTAATTTCTGATATAATCAGAAGTTCGTGTCATGTGTCTAATGTTGATGAGGGAATAGGTGTCATCAAATCTCGATTTACAAGTAAGAAAGTCCTAGTTCTTCTCGATGATATTGATGATAATGCTCACTTGAATGCTTTGGTCGACGATGGTAGTTGGTTTGGAGCAGGAAGTATAGTCATCATTACAACCAGAGACAAGAGCATTCTCGATGATGCTAAAACAGGCTACAAATACCCACTCAATGAGTTGTCTAAGGATCAATCATTGATTTTGTTTAGTAGACATGCATTTCGAAAGGATTTTCCTCATAGTGATTATGGGGTCATCTCTCGTGATGTCGTATCTACTACTGGAGGGCTTCCATTAGCTCTTGAAGTTGTAGGTTCATTTTTATGTGGAAAGAAAAGAGAAGTATGGATAGATACATTAAAAAAATTAAAGAAAATGCCTGACAACAAAGTGCAAGAGACATTGATGATAAGTTACGAAGCATTAGATCATGAGCAGAAACAGATATTTTTGGATATTGCATGCTTTTTCATTGGATCATGTAAACAAAATCCAACTTACATGTGGGATGCCTGTGATTTTTTTCCGGAGAGGGGGATTGAAGTATTGAGTCTTATGTCCCTAATTAAAGTTGACAAAGACGGCAAGTTCATGATGCATGATCAACTGAGAGATCTTGGAAGGGAAATTGTTCGTCTAGAAAATCCAAATGAGCCACAAGACCGTAGCAGATTGTGGATCTATGAGGCAAACCCAGATGTACTTGACAACAGCAAGGTAAGAGTTTTTTCTACTTGCCTTAGTCAATGAATATGGGTCTGTTTCCCCTTTCTTGTTTGAGATAAAAATAATTGTAAGTCTTGAGTCCCCAAATCTTGCTGCTTCTACCACAAAAGAGCTCTTTTGGTTAATTGTTGTTTTTGCCTGATTCTAGAACATAATTGAGGAGTAATTTCTTGGTTATGGACGATTGATATATATCTTTACCTGGTAGTAGGATACTCTCCTTTTGGTAACTTCAATGCAACAACAAAACTACAAGACAAAGTATTTTTAGAGAAAACCTGACATTTATAGATTGTTCCGGCAATACTTTTCCAACATATCTGTTTAATGCAATTTGATGTTTGGATTCGTCTTTTGGTTTCTTGATAGGTCTTTTCTTTCTTTTTAATTTTACTTAGTATTGACTTCTTATGAGTTGTTTTAGTACGATAAGTGAGATCTCCATTCAATTGTCACGATTTAGCTATCTTGGTTCCTGTATTTTTTTAGTGGGGTTAAGTGTATCCCCTAGGTATTATTGGTTGTGCAATTTAGTCCCCCATCTATTTTTGTATTTGCTCAATATAATCCTCCAACTTTCACTTTTTTGTGCAATCGAGTCCTTTGTGGTCAATCGTTAGTTGACACCATCAATTTATTGACATGGCATTTGTATTTATTTATGATATATGAGCAACCATGTAATATAACCCTTTAAACATATATTATTTTTGTCGTACAGACTTTTCATAATAGTGGATAGTTTCTTTCTATGAATCTGCTAATACATTTTATTTTTGTGATGATGGATGATTTTTCTATTAATCTCCCAATATTCTCTTTTCTAGCAAAACAATATCTCCCGATATTCTTTTTGTACGATGTTATAATAAATTTTTGTTTATTGTTCAACTCTTAGTGAGCATTTTATTTAGCAAAAAATTAGTTAGCATTTATATCATCATCTTATTTTTGTGAAAGGAAAACTACTTCGGGGTAAATGTGACATGGGTCAACTAGTTTGGGATTCCTTGTGACATGAAAATTAGTGAGGGGTAAATGTAGAACAAGCCTAGTAGTTCGGGATTTTTGGTATTATTAACTGATGTAAATGTGGTTTTTAATTTTGTGTGATGATTAATTTTCATTATTAGCATGAAAGTTAAAAGGTAATCCACTAAAAGCAATTATAATATGTGGATGATTTGTACAAGCATCAAACAAGCATGTGCAAATGTCATAAGTATCGTTAATAAAGAAAAACTAAATATAAACATTGGGATGCAAAACAAAATGAAATAACAAGACTATTGAAAAAAAATGCTACCAATGCTTTCCAGAGAGCATATGTTTCCACGAAGGAAAATGTAATCAACTGAATAGAACACTACTCAAAAGTGCAAAAAAAAAAAGGTATTTATGAAGTTGTTGACAAAAATACAATAAATATACAAAAAAAAACTTATAATGTAAAAAGAAGTAGCGTCTCATCTGAAGGAATACAAGTTTGAAGGAAACGTTGAAACCACCAGACAAATCCGTATTATTGACTCTCATGATTTGCGCTCAGGGTGCAATTCATTACCTAAAGCAAAAAACAAATTTGAGTTCCTAAAATATTGGGTTACAACAAAAGAAAAAAGTAAAAGACTAGAGTTCCTTAAGAATACAATTGTATCGATCTTCATGTCCAATCTGTTCATACGGAAGATCTCATTAATCTATGGGAAAATTGATCAAATTTAGATGACTACTACTACATTGTAACAAAATCAACACGACAACAAAAAGATAGTGTCAAACATCTATAGTAATAAGAAGAAAGTAAGAATCATGTATAGAACATTCGATATTATTCCTTCCACGTACAATGCAAAACCTTTAGCGAAGAAACACATGATAAGAAAGGAACGTAAAACACATGCGTACCTTTTGCGATGACATTCGCATTTTCATTTTGATATTTAGAATTGCAAGCATATTATACCAGAAAGAATGGGGGCATTCTACAATTTGGATTCTTTAATTTTGATACATGTTTTGATGGCAAGTTTGATGGATGCATTTGGACTGTTAGAGTCATATTGGTTCACAAATACATGATAGGAGTAAATGTAGTGTTATTTCACAAATAAATGGCATGAATTTTCATAGATATATTTGAATTAGTCTATGCATGAAGAGAGGCCTTCTATTGTAATTGCAACTGGATGCAAATTTTGGGAATTCAGAAGGTGCAAATTGCGAAGGGCATAATTGGAAGAGGAAAACTTCCGGAACAACCGCTTGAGCTTCTCATCTTTACATAGATTAGATAAATAGTATGTGACCACAACGTGTCATTTCACAAAATTTAAAGGAGAAGCCTACGCCATGATAGTATGACAGCAAATTGAAATCAGTGCATTTTGTTTTACATCAGTTGATCTCATCTCATCATTTAAAACTTATGGTCCACAATGTTTCGAAGTTGCAGGGCACTAGAAAGATTGAGGCACTTTCTCTTGGCAAATGTGGTGAGGCAAGAAGATACACAGCTAAACAATTTAAAAAAATGACCAACTTGAGGTTCCTTCTAGCGGATGATGTGAATTTCACCGGAGATTTCCAAAATTTATTTTCTAAATTAAGATGGCTTCAGTGGGCAGGTTGTCCCTCAGATTTTACTGCGACCAACTTTCATCCGAAGAAATTAGTTGTACTCGATCTGTCAGATAGTGCAATTTCAGAGGACTGGAAAGGATGGGTTCCACTCAAGGTAAGATGTAAAGAAGGCATTGAAGTATTTTCAATATAATTTTTTTTCCTTGTACGTATAACATTTGAAAATTGATTTTCATAATTAGACTAGTCGTTTCTCTTTAATCTCATACTATTGAAGGAATACATGGCGCCCAATGAATGCATCTCTCTTCCATTTGAATTTGTCATCTGTTATTTGATAATAAAAGTTGCTTCTATTTAATTAGTAAACATTTCCTTTGAAATGTTATTCAGAAATATGTGTAGTCGGCACTTGTATATCCCCAACATTCTTTTGCAATTGATATGCTTAAAAAATATTTATATGTTGGCGTAGCCAAACACTACTAAAAACGACATTTAAAATTATAGGGAAAATTTCAATTTGGTACCCAAAGTGGGGTCATTTTCTCAAAAAGGGATCTAAAGTGAACAAAGTGTTAAATAAGGGCTTGAAGTGCCCAATCAGTCTCAAAATAGGGACCCGAAGTGCCCAATTAATCTCAAGTAAAAGCCTAGGTTCGCCGACCGACGAGCACGTCACTGTTCCGGCGATCGGAATAGGGGCAATTTTGTCTTTTACATTTTTTTTTCTCTTTTCCCTCCACCGGCCATAGCCGGGGCCGGCAGAGGTGGCCGGCCTCAAGCAGAGGCCACCCTCGCCGGCGTCGGGCGAGGGCCGCCCTCGCCTGGGCTGGGTGGGCGAGTCGCCCTCGCCGGATCTGGCGAGGGTCGCCCTCGCCGGATCTGGCGAGGGTCGCCCTCGCCCGCCCAGCCCAAGCGAGGGTGGCCCTTGCCGGCATCTGGCAAGGGTCGTCCCTGGGTTTCCCTTGCCAGCGTCAAGCGACCCTCGCCCGACCCTCGTCGACGTCGGGCGAGGCCAGTCACTTCCGCCGGCCCCGGCTATGGCCGACAGAGGGAAAAGAGAAAAAAAAAAAAAGAAGAAGAAGAAAAGGAAAAGGAAAAGAGAAAAAAAAAAAAAGAGAAAGAAAGTAAAAGATGAAATTGCCCCTATTCCGATCGCCGGAACAGTGACGTACTTGCCGGCCAGTGAGCATTTGACCGGCCGACGAACCTAGGCCCTTACTTGAGATTAATTGGGCACTTCGAGCTCCTATTTGAGACTGATTGGGCACTTCATACCCTTATTTGACACTTTGTCCACTTTGGACCCCTTTTTGAGAAAATGACCCCACATTGGGTACCAAATTGAAATTTTTCCAAAATTATATAAGACAACCGTGAAGGATTTGGGGAGCATGGGTATTTTTTGAGGAATTCTAAAAAGTCAAAACATAAGGAGTAGTCGAAAATCACAAGCTGCAACAGTCCAATGACATTGAGGTAACATTTCTTTTTTTCAGATGGCAACCAAGCTCAAAGTTCTCAACCTCGAGAATTGTCTATCACTGAAAAGAACTCCCGACTTGTCTGCTTTCGAAAGCTTGGAGATTTTGATTCTTAGAGATTGTCCAAATCTAGAAGAGATTCATCCTTCTATTGGGGACATTAAGACCCTCGTTTCCTTGGATGTCTCTTGGTGTACAAGACTCAAGAACCTACCGGTAGGAGTAGGTAGAATGGTAAAATTGAGGGAGCTTCGCATAAATGACACTGATATACAAGAGATTCCTATTTCGAGAGGTTGTTTGATGGAGCTGAAAACTCTATGTGTCGGATGTTGTAAACGACTTTCTCAACTTCCTAAATCTATGGACTCCCTTGTCTCATTGACTCTATTGGACTTATCTGATTCAGCAATTGAAGAATTACCTGAATCCATTGGTTCCATGAAGAAGCTCAAGACTTTGAATGCCTCTGAATGTAGCCTGTTAGCTCGCATACCCAGCTCCATAGGCAATCTAGCATCCCTACAAAGCTTGTTCTTACATGACTGCTCCTCATTGACAGAGATCCCCGACTCGATTGGAAAATTGACATCATTGACTAAGCTGAACTTAGAATACACATCAATTACGAAATTACCTAAAACCATTGGGAATATGCCAAATTTGAGGAACTTGAAAATTAGTGAAAGTGACATAACGGAATTGCCTGATGCCATCGGGAAGTTGGCAAAGCTCCGAAAGTTGGAAGCTGATGGATGCAGAAAGCTAGAACGACTACCTAGTAATATATGCGAATTGGTTTCGTTGGAGGAGCTTTCTTTAGGACAATCCGGCATTTCGAGCTTGCCAGAAAGCATTTCTAAGCTCTCTTCTCTCCAAGAGCTAGATGTTAGATATTGTGAAAACCTCCGAGAATTACCAGAACTGCCCTCTGGGTTAACAGATCTAAGGATCACCTACCAGAGTCCGTCGTTGCCCCATCTTTCCCAACTAACCCGTCTTAAGAAACTCGCTCTTTGTCATTGCCCCTGGCTTGAACGTGTCCCAGAGCTTCCCATTGGACTATCGCAGCTTCATATTAATGGTTGCGGAAAATTGAAAGAGTTCACAAATTTGTCAAACTTGAAGCACTTATCAAAGTTGAGTCTCGACAAGTGCTTTGATCTCGTAGAAGTCATCGGCGTGGAAGGTTCACATTGCCTATCCAACTTACCCGCAGGGCAATGCCCTAAGATATCTAGGGTTGATGGGATTGAAGATTCTTCGAAGTTGATGAGCCCAAAGGCATCTCAGCTCGATGGATTGTTGGATCTTTCCGATTCAAAGATTCTGCAGAGAATGGACGCCGCAGCAAGTTGCACGAATTCAGTTGAAATCCAAGACCTTGGTGAATCAAAATCCTCTCAAGTGTCGGATATCCTTAAGTGCACGTCTGCCGAACAATTGCTAGACTTTTCCAGTTTTAAATACCTGAGAAGCCTTTTTGTTTGCGGTTGCAATAGTGTAACTGAAATTCAAGGCCTCGATGGATCGGAATCGTTGATAGATTTGAAAATTATATATTCCCGTTCCCTCAAATCAGTGGACCTCTCGAACGTAAAGAATCTGCAGGATTTTTATTCTGGGGGTTGCGAAAATTTAGTTGAAATTCGAGGGCTCGAGGGATTAGGACCATTGCGGTCATTCGGTATTACCCACTGCCCGTCTCTTAGACAATCACCGGACCTGTTGCGTTTAATTAATTCGCGACGGAGGTGATGGGGGGATCCGCTGAAGTGGAGGTGGGAGGTTGGAGGGAGGGAGGTGGTCGTCTGGGCCAGTGGGGGCGGAGGATCACGGACAGAAGAAGGTGTTTCGGATCTCCTCCCCATTTTCTCTTCCCATTCCCTCATTTATTCATTCTTTTTTTTATTCCCCTCAACTTTTTGTTTACTTAACCGTTTCATTTTCTCTCTCTCATCATCAGTTGCGCTCGAAGAGGAGAAACAAACAGAAGAGGAGGACAAGTTTTGGCGAGGGAGGTTCCACCGAGTGGCGCGCTTTCTCTCTCCTCTTTTTTCCTTCCCCCAAGGGGGGCTTCCAAATCGATGGTGCTCGCAGACCATTTTGCCAAATCTCTGAAGGCTCGCCTTCCGATTTCTAGGAGCGGATCCAGATGGTTAGTCCTTTTCCTTTTGATCGAATCGTCCTTTTACTGGCAATTGTCCAATTTCTGATGCTTGATTCGCCTGCCTGTTTACTTCTTCTTCTTCTTCTGCTTTTTCCTCTAATGAAGGAAAGGTTGGGGTTCGATGATGTTCCTGTGGAAGTCTAATGGTTGTATGTATACAAAGTGAATTCAGTACTTGGTGCTCCCCTTTGTTCTTATTCCGGTCAATAGATTTGTTTTAGGATTTGAATTATCTTGTATAGGGATGGTTCTTTTTACATAATAAAGAAACCTGGGGGACAAGAAATTGAGATTGGGTGCCGGAGGAGCGATTCTTTATACCGGGAGTAAGAATAACCTTTTATTGCTGGAGTTGGAAGTGGGCTCTACCTTCATAAAAGCTTGGGTTGGGGTAAATGGAAGGTCTTCTGTGCCTCCACAAACAGCAGTGCAGCACAATGCCAACACCTTTGTACGGCAAGCATCGTTTACAGCTGGGGATGGAATTCTTTTTTACGTAATAGTGTATAGCTCTTTATTTTTTCTATTTTTTTTCATCCTCCTGTCTTCTTCTTTTCACTGCCATCATCTGGTTTTGTGTTTGCTTTATTCTCTTCTTTACTTATGCCCCAGATGCTTCTCTAGTTAACTTTCTTTATGAGATACGAGAGCTTCTTCAGTGATGTGCTTCTGCTGTGGTGATACTAGTGTTTTTGTCTTCTGCTTTTGAGCTTCATTCCCTCTTTTCCAAGATAACATATAGGTGTTAGTACAGAAAGAAGATCAAGAATCTATCAATTTAGACCTTAATTTTCTGTAGAGTCTTATGATTATTGATCCAAAGTATGGTCCAATTTCAATCATTTAGGATCCATCCTAACAACCTTTACCTTAAGGGTTAGATTTTATACTGCTGGGATTGCCTCCCATATGTGTACTGATTAGATCATGAACAGTCGTTTTGTGTAGCTGTGACATGTCATCTATGTATAACTATCTAAAAAACGAATGTGCTTGGCCTATCTACATGAGAATTGGCTCTAGGCAATCTGTTGGGATGCAAGTTCTCGGGCCTGGTGCTTGTGCTCTAGAATCTAGTATGGTGGACTCCTCTAGAATCTAGTATTGTGGGATCCTCTTCAGTTTCTCACCTTGTGTTTCTGGATTCTCTCCCATGATTGCCCCAAATTTTCACTTTTTATTCTCCTACTCATTTATGAATCGCGTTACTTTTTTATCATGTCTAGTTCAGGATACATTTCATGATATGTCCTTTATGGGGATTTTATAGTGCTTGTGCTGTTTGCAAGTTTTCAAATGGCTGGGATCCTCTTTATAGAGATACCTTTATTTGTATTGTACCTTGCTATCGTCCCTTTTGGTTCCTTTTTTTTACCATATTTTCATTCTAGAGTGACAAATTTTCCGTGCTGTTAATCAATAGTTCAAATCTAAGTTTTAATTGTGATCTAGACATTATCAAGTCATTCACTTGATTGGCTAGTGACCTACATGTCGCTGTTTTCTTATCACCAGGCTGTGACAGCAATGCTGTAGCAGGCTACGCAATATGTTGACCAGACACCTGATGTTGAGACCAAGATAGAGCTTATAAGACACTTGACTCTGTCGCCGCTGGGAAGGTGAATATGTGAGATCAAACTCTGTTGCAGCTTATGTTCATCAGCAATCTGCTTTTGTTTCTTGGTTTCTGTAGCTAGTTTCGTAATGCAGATATATGTCAAAATTAAGAGAGCACGGTCGATCAAGAAACTTGCAATAGAAAGGAAGAACAAGGTCTTATAGCAGAAGCTACTGATTTGATGCAAGAAATCAGGGTAACTAGAAGTTGACTTATGTTGTCACTGATCTTGTAATTGGTTTTTCCTTGTCCAACATTCCTATGATGGGTTTGAAATGCAGGTACAAACTTTTGGAGCAACGGCAAGGATGGACAAAATTGCCTTTATTTTTGAACAAGTATGGGTTTTTTGTATTGCTTTTGGCTGATTATGCACTATTACTATGATTGGTTTTCTGATCGATGGATTTTGCAGGTTCGTCTGTGCATAGATGTCCAGGATTATGTCTGTTCACATATCCTTTCCAGGAAGATTGGCCCCCGAGTGTTTGATACAGATCCTTCCAAAGAGAAGAAAAAGCCTAAAGAAGGTGAAAACATTGTGGAACAAGCACCAGCTGATGTTCTGTCACTTCTGGAGTTGAAATGGATATACTATGACTCATGGGTACGGTGAATTGGTGTTTTGCTTTTCCTAATGTTGTGTCCACTGTCTTTTTAACTAATTTGTTTTTGCCGATCAAGCACCACCTGGTATTCAGGTTGTGGTTCAAACCATGAACTTGTATGGCTTTATATATCTGGCACATACTCTTCATCCTTTCTAGCTTTATCGCAAACTTTGACGTTCCAGATGTACTTGATGGATTTGAACTCTCATCTTAGTTTACCCCGCATTTATGTGGTTAACGATGTAGGTATAGGTATGATTCACATAACAATGATTACCTTGAGATTTGTCGATACTATAAGGCGATATATGAGATTCCATCAGTGAAGGGCAACCCGGAGCAGTGGATACCGGTGAAGCTCTTTCCTTGTTAAGTCTTCACTGAGTTTTTCAAGGTGCAGCTGTTCATTGTGTGATTTAATTAAATGCTGGTTCTAAGGAAAATCTGCTGGTACTTAATTCTATCACCACATGATCCTATGCAGTCAAGCCTTCTTAATGCCACTTTAGAGGATAAACATTTCTCAGAAATTCCCCAATTCAGGTACCATCTTTGAATTGTTCTAGGTAATTGGTTGTACATCTTGCGATATCTGAATAATGTGCCATAGAATTTGGTCAGCCATGCCTTTGATAATTTAACGCAGGTTGCTGCTGAAACAATTGGTCACAATGGAGGTTATCCAATGGACTCCTCTTTAAAGCACTTTCAAAGATAATTTAAGAATGAGAAAAACACACTCAGAGGTGAACTTGCTGAGAAGGCAGCAGAAAATCTTAGACGGAGAATCATCAAACATGTAATTACAAAACTTTCTCATTTTCTTTTCATTGGATTATCATTTAGATGTGACTCACTCTATTTTCTGCAGAATATATTGTCGTTCCGAAGTATTACTCGAGGATTACCTTGAAGATACTTGCAGAGCTGTTGTGCCTCATCATCCAGGTCTGATTGTGTTGAACATTTGTTTATATTCTTTATTGATGTAATCTTTTTGAATGATTGCCTAGACCCCTCATTTAACCTGAGCAGCCTCTCTGCCTTAAATCCCTGATTGGGGCCTGGTTGCTGGACTTGGATACAAGCTCCAAAATAGTGGAAAATAGGTTTTGGCACCTTGAAAGCCAAAGGCTTGTCACGGATTTGAGAATGTTGTCTTCATAGTCTTGTTTTGTAAGCATTTCTGACCGACATATATGTGTACACTTGGCTTAGTCGACTTCTGCTCATAAATTTGTTGTGGCTATAAGTGTCATTGCCTGGCATTGTGAAACCATTTCTTGTCCCATGGAGCCTGATATTCTAATGTACTTTAGAAGGGTGGGAAGAGCTCTGCTATATCGCTAAAAATAGCTGAGCAAGCTTTTTCTGCTAGTATTAGCACTCACCATTTCCTGTGTTACAAAAGTATATCTCGCTAGAGATCTTGATTAATCAGTCATGAATCACATGCCTCAATTTATTAAATCAACACTATCATCTAATAAAGAGACCATATAATGATAATTATACAAGCTTGTATGATAATTTTTCAGCATGACCTCTTACTTCTATATTACCGTTCTAGGGAGCTGAGAAGCATCTTTCCTTAATGGTTATTTCCAAGTCCCTGGTGGCAAAGGCCAATGGGAGTTGTCAGTTTCCAAACGACAAAGGACAGCAATGACATTTTGAACTCACAGGTGACATTTGGAAAAGCTGCTTGATCTTGTCGAGAAAAGTTGCCACCAAATCCCCAAGGAAACCACGGTCCATAGGCTCTGCTTTGAGAGCTTGAAGATGTTTTTGATTGAATGAATGATATCTCTCTCCTCGAGCCTCTCTCTCTCTCTCTCTCTCTCCAATAGAGAGAAGCTGAAGAATGCTGTTTCACATTGTACTCTGAAGTGGGGACTGAAGATATTCATCATACAACTCTCGTGTAGCTGGCTTAAGTTTGATTTCATATTTTGCAGGGGGACTAGATCTGGGGTTCGGACTGAAATGATAATACTGAACACACTTTCTGCATACGAATGCTGTCTTTTCATCTTTCCTCTTTCCTCATTCTAGAACTCGTACCTATGGAACAGGTATCCGCACAAGATGTGCATTCATTAGGACTGAGATGAGCGCTTTGTTACTGAATTCTGTTCCGCCTTATGGCTTGAAGTATGAACCCGTCAAAATGTGCATTTGGCGAAACAATTTTGGCTGGTGCTTGTGTTTTTCTAACTTCCGGGATAACATTACCTATCCAAGAATAAAGGCTAATGAATGCGATCCTTTTATGTCACTTTCACATTTGAAATGAGCACCCGTTTTGAGGGAGCTTCATTTTAGAGGTGCTCATTTCATTAAGGTAACTGCACTTTTTATCTCCTCAAAGGTTGTTGTTTTTCTCCAAGTCGATACTTGATATCTATCTATCATTTTATCAAAGAATGCCATTATCGAATTTACTTAGCATAAGTCGGACAAAGAAAATTATTGATTTTCAATGTACTAATTTTTCTCGTTATATGTACCATCAATGTTTTGAAAATTACATCAATCATCATAAAGTTACACAAAACATCATTATTGAGGTCCTTTTTAACATGGGCAATTAATTATTTATGAGAAGTAAATGGTTTTGTTTTTTAGAAAATGTAATTTTCAATTTAAAGTGGCCAGAAACACACGTTTTACTTTTAGTTTTTTTTTTTGTGTTCAAATACTACTTTTAGATGACTTAATTAGTGTTGCAGTGTAATTGCCAACGCCTTATTTCAAATGTAGGAAAAATTTGAGGTAACGCACATCATTTGAAGATCTATTTTTGCCATGTACTTGGAAACCAATTAAAATTCTGAAAAAAAAAAACTTATATAAAGCATTCAAAAACATTTGATTTGACGTGTCGGGTGAGAACCGACTTATAAATATTATACATACTTTGCACTTATAAATGTACGTGAATTTGAAAATTCATGTCGGGCGAGAACCGACTTCTAACTCACCTAGAACATCGCCGACCTCGAACGCGTGTTGGCTTGCCCAATCGGTATATGCGCCGGCACTAGAAGGGATCTTCCATCCCCCAGAACCTCCCACCGTGTAATTCGTCGCCTCGGCGCCCGATAAAAGCACGACCGTGACCGTGAGTGCGCAGGTTGTGACTTTCGCGTTGGTCATTTTTGGCTCGGCTTGTGTTACGATTTGAAGCCCAGGTCGCCCCCACCAAAAAGACTGTGCTCCTTGTTTGTCAAAGGCGTGATTGGATTTAATACTGAGTCGGTACCGATAAGAGGCTGCATTATGCTGGACATGTAGTGGGGCACATGAATTGATTGGTTTTGACTGATTATCTTTATCTTCCGCGTAGTCGGTGATGGAGTCTGGGATTTTAAAAAGTAAAGTCAAATATGAAAGCATTCACATTAGTATTCTGGTGTAATTAAAATATTTTTTAAAAATAATTTTGAATGAATACTACTCTCTCTCTATGTGTATGTGTGTGTGTGTGAATCATAAGTATGTTTAAAACAGTTAATATAAAAGAAAAATTAGATAAAATAAAGTATTCATGTTCAGAAGACCTAGCGAATGTTGACTCATAAGTGTTCGTTTGTGCAAAAACAAAGTTGTTCGACAAACCTTAAAGCGCAGATGACTAATCCGAATGTTAACGAATGATCCGAGCCCAATGAATTCACGTTGTGTCCTTAAGACAATTTGTCCTCTCCATCGGTACCCAAGGTTCTTGAACAATTGTCTCCCAGGATAAAATGGATTGCCTTTCCTATGAAGTAGTACTTCTTCAAAGGAAACCTTGAACGCAACTTTGCAGATTAATCGCACGAAAATGACAATAATGAAGAATAAGAGAGCAGCAGCAAAATGCCGCACCAAAACACAAATGTATTTTGTTTTATTTAAAAACAATGAAAAGTCACGAAGAACCAAAAAGTTTCGTTCGGTTCACGAACAGACATATCTGTCCGAAAATAAACGGGCGAACAATCACGAACAGACATATCTGTCAATAAAATAAAATAAAATTCCAAATAGATATGTCTGTTCAGTGAAAAACAAAACTGTCTGAACCACACTTCTCATTCACCTTCTATGGGATTTGGATACCAAAGTCCCAATAATCCCCCATATGAATGAGAAGTTTAGATATCATGACTCTTCGTGCATGCATGAGATGCAATGTGCGATTATTCCATGAGAGAACGCTGAATTGGGATAAGTAGTCGGAGACTTTGAACTTTCCCTAGTGAGACCTATTGGACTTACTCGGTCAATCAGTAGACTTGATGTCTTTGAACTATCGGCCTTCGGTGTAAGTCAAGACAATAGGAATCACACAACTATCTTTCAAACAAAATTAGTTCTCACTGCTACGTTCGTTTTGGCCGTGAATACCACCCGGTTTCATGAGTGCTTTCGAGAATTCGGACTTTCAAATTCTTCATAGAAGCGGCCCTCACTTCACACTCACATAGGTGATTTCTGAATGTGTGGTATAACATATACCCAAAACAGAATAATTAAAAGCTTACACTTAACCTTCACATGTCAATACTGTCTCCATACGGGAATGAGTAAGAGTTGACAGTACTCTACACTACCTGCATAACTTTGTTGTCCCTTTGAACCTAGATCTTGGGATCTCCAGTCAACTAGGTAGGGTTTCCGCTATGATGACTTAATTTATAGGCCTTAAACCCATTCCTCTTGATGTTTTCACAACCATCTCTCTAGTTAGGCTTTTTGTTAATGAATCCATAACATTATCTTTTGACTTCACAAAGTCAATCGTGATAATTCCACTAGAGAGTAGTTGTCTTATAGTATCGTGTCTTCGACGTATATGTCAGGACTTCTCGTTATACATGACATTCCTTGCCCTGCCTATTGCCGCTTAACTATCACAATGAACACACATAGCTGGCACTGGTTTAGGCTAATTAGGAATGTCTTCTAAGAAATTTCGAAGCTACTTAGCTTCTTCACCGGCCTTATCCAAAGTAATAAATTCTGCTTCCATAGTAGACCTCGCAATACAAGTTTGTTTGGATGATTTCCAAGACACTGCTCCCCCACCAAGTATAAACACATACCCACTTGTGGATTTTGTGTCTCTTGTGCCGGTTATCCAATTTGCATCACAGTATCCTTCAAGTACCGCTGGATACTCTGTGTAGTGCAAAGCAAAATTTTGAGTATGCTTCAAATAACCCAATACACGTTTCATAGCTCTCCAATGATTTTCATTTGGATTAACTGTAAATCGACTTAGCTTGCTCACAGCACAAGCTATATCCGGCCTAGTACAGTTCATGACATACATTAGACTGCCTAGTATACTAACATACTCATTTTGAGCTTTGCTTTTACTAGTATTCTTTGAAAGATATAAATTAACATCTACCGGGGTCTTTACTGGTACAATGTCTAGATTCTTGCACTTTCCAAGAATCTTCTCAATGTAATGAGACTATGATAGAGCTAATCATCCAGATGTCTTATGAATTTTAATCCCTAAAATAACATCCGCAACCCCCATATCTTTCATATCAAATTTACTTGTGAGCATGCATTTGGTTGTCTTGACAACCTCACTATTACTACCCATTATAAGCATGTCGTCTACATACAAGCACAAAATGGCAAAACCATTATGAGTGTTCTTAACATAGACACATTTATCACACTCATTAATCTTAAAACCATTCAACAACATGACTTGGTCGAATTTAGTATGCCATTGTTTCAGTGCTTGTTTCAAGCCATAGAGTGACTTGATCAGCCAACACACTTTCTTCTCTTGTCCTGGAACATTGAACCTCTTCAGGTTGTTCCAAATATATTTCTTCTTCAAAATCCCCGTTTAAGAAAGCCGTTTTCACATCCATTTGATGGATTTCAAGCCTGTACACCGCTGCTATGGCAATTAGCATCCTTATAGATGTAATTATAGTAACAGGTGAATAAGTGTCAAAATAATCAAGACTTTCTCGTTGCTTGTATTCTTTTACTACAAGCCTAGCATTATATTTATCAATAGTACCATCCGCTTTCATTTTCCTCTTGAAAATCCATTTACATTGTAGTGGTTTATAACCAAGAGGAAGGTTAACCAATTTCCAAGTATATTTGACAAGATGGATTCAACTTCACTATTGATAGCTTCTTTCCAGAACGGGGCTTCTGGGGATGTCACAGCCTCTTTAAAAGTCTGAGACTCATTCTCTAACAAATATGTTAGAAAATCAAGTCCAAAAGACTGAGAAGTTCTTTGTCTTTTACTACGTCTAGGTTCATTCTCCATAGGATTGCTTCTAGGTGTAATATCCTGAGGCCTCTTATCATTATTAATTGGCTCATATACTATGTTAGATGGAAATATATTCTCAAAGAATGAAGCGTCCCTTGACTCAATGATCGTATTAATATGTATATCTACGACCTCAAACTTATGAACAAGAAATCGATATGCATTACTATTAATAGCATATCCAATGAAGACAAAATCAACGGTTTTCGGTCCTCTCTTAACTTTTTTAGGTTTAGGAATCGCAACCTTAGCCAAGCACCCCCACACCTTGAGATATTTCAAATTAGGCGTTCTGCCTTTCCACTTCTCATAGGGAGTTTGTTTTGCTTTTTTGTGGGGTACTCTATTTAAGATAAAAT